TGTATAGAGCATCAGACACAGCCTTAAACTCATTTCTTCAGCCTCTGTTTTCATTTACAGCAAAAAAAATAAATAACTAAAATTAGGTGAGATGGGCACCAGGTTTCTGTTAAAGGCGATGCGAATGTTTGGAACTAAACAGTGGTGATATACACAAGTTGAATGTAATTAACATGAATTAATCACACATGTAAAGACAGTTGAAATGGCAACTGTTTCATGAAAAGTTTCTTGTTGTCAGTTGCTATGGAGATGGCCCCTGACTCATGGTCACCCCACGTCTTATACAAAGTAGAACTGCTCCACAAAGCTACAATTCACAGAGGAAGACTGTCAGACCTTATTCTGAGGATCCACTAGGTAGGTTTGAACCACCAAACTTTAGGTTAGCAGCCGATCACACACCACAGGCACCATCCAGGGCTTCTTTATTGATATTTAACATAAATGATGAAAACGTATTTTTAAAACTCCTGGTGTGGTACCGTGAGATCAGCACCAGACTTCAAACCACAAAGTCAGCAGTTCAAACCCTACAGCCACTCCTCAAAAAAAGTGACCCTATACAGGGTCACTATAAGTCAGAACTGATTCGACAACACTTAACAACAGCGGAAAGGGAAGTAAGAGCCCGTGAGCCTTCCAGGACATTCCAAAGATCTGAACATCAACGACATGTTTGTGTTAATGCCTGTGAATCCAACCGCTCTCCGAATCCCAGAAACCCAACCTGAGTAGAGTTCTCCTCTGCCCCGTTACCCACAGACGGGTAGACCAGGAGCCCACCTCCATGCATTGCATCAACACGAATCTTCAGTTGTCCAGGGCCCGTCAGCAAACTCTTGATGGCACTGAAGTCAAAGATGGTCCGTAGGAGGTTAAGGTAGATATCCACAGGGTCCACAATCTCCACTAGGGGTCAAAGACAGAGGGAAGTATCAGTGGCCATACCACGAAGGACACGTGCTAGCCTAAAAACAAATAAATAAATACGACCCCAACAGTATGGCATTCTGACCACAATCCCACCCCGCACTCACACTCTGTGAGGACAACAGTGTCCACATGTAGACACCATCACCAATGAAGGCAACCAAGATGCTACAAACTCTTCAGAGGACCAGTGGGTGCAAAATGCCGTTGCAAATGAAACCTCATATTCAAGAATAAAGCAGTGAAAACACCATCAAGGGAGAAAAGCCCAAGCAGAATGCAGGACCCTGTCCAGAGAAGCAGCAACACCAGAGATAGAGGCAGAAATGGGGACATGGAGCGAAGGAGCAGCTGAGGACTCGAGATTCATGGGAAGAGAAAGGCTGTGTGCTGGGGGCCAAGAGGCAGGCTTGCAGAATGTGCCCTTAGGTTGTTTAAATGATTATATATTCCTGAGGGTTTTTGTGTACATCCAAAAAGAAAAAAAGCGAATACTGTTGAATGATGATGCACGGAGGGAACTGTAATCATTGTAATGAAACAAAATAAGATAGGATGAGTATAAAACTGATGTTCTCCCTTGTAAACTATCACTCAATTCACAATAAAGACTTAAAAAAAAAAAGAAAGAAAGCTGTAAAAATAAAAACGCAGCCTGTTCTTCCTAACCCCTTGTTTCTGCCATCTCCATCCCCCAAAATCTCCATTCTAAGAAGTGTTCTGTGCCATCCAGATACCTCTCCCATGGCGGGTGGCAGAGTATGACTTGGTGGTGTGAAGCAAATCGAGGGAAGAACCAGGGCAGTGACCTCTTTTGTCCAAATGCCACTGTGCCCACCGGATCCCAGGGCAGCTTGCTGAGTTTGCAGGAAGCCTCTTGTATGCCCGGCCTAGTATCCAGGTTCAGAGTGGACACCAGATACCGGGAACTCCTCAAGTCCAGTACCACCCAACAACTGCACCATATATACCAGCTGCCACACACTCGGCTCCGACTCACAGCGACCCCATGTATGTCACAGTAGAACCATCCCATAGAATTGTCAAAGCTGTGACCTTTCAGCAGCAAATGTCCAGGCTTTTCTTCCGAGCTGCCTCTAGGTGGACTTGAACTGCCAACCTTTCTGTTAGTAACCCAGTACTTAAACATCTGTTGTTGTCGTTGTTGTTAAGTGCCATCAAGTTGATTCCAACTCACAGTGACCGTGTAAAGGGTTTCCGAGGAGCAGCTACGCCGACCTTGAGGCTCAAAGCTACTTTGCAGTCCAGTGCATTAACCCACAGCATCACACCAGGACTCCAAACATCTGTACCACCACCCAAACAAATCACTGATATGACCATAAACACAGAATGGGCTGCATTTTTCAAACCTGGCAACCAATACCTAATTAGAGCTTAGAAAGCATTTTTCCTAGAAATCCTCAGTGTTTGACTCTGAAGGTATGAAAATTTGTTCAAGTCTTGCTTTTTGAATTCAAAACTAAATTAAGCACTAAAGAGAAGCACGGGACTGCTAGCTGCAAGGTCAGCGGTTCAAACTCACCAGGCGCTCCTTGAAACCGACTTGATGGTACTTAACAACAGTGTACAGTGTTTTCAAATTCTGCAAATACAGGTGACTTTAAATCCCTGAAGGGCTGAGCCTGCAATGAAAGTGTTCTCGCTGCATCTTCAATCATCTCAGTACATTCAGATGCAACCCTTTAACAAATGAGATTTTTAAATGGAATATAGAACTCTCCCTTCATGTGATCAAATACACATCTAAAAGTATTTTTTTCCTGAAGTTAAATCAATAGAATGTGTGTGCCCATTCAAATGCAATGCTGTTGTTTTTAAAAGAACATTTATCATTTTTTAATGATCTTTGTAATCTGAAGAAGGTGGGAACAACAGATAGCTCAGAGTTCTTGCTTGTTACTGTCAAATAATTTCCAGCTGACGGCGACCTCATGCGTAGAACTGCTTCCTGAGGTTTTCATGGCTATGACCTTTCAAGAAGCAGATCACCAAGCCTTTCATCTGAGGTGCCTTTGGGTGGGGTTGAACCACCAACATTTTGCTTAGTAGCCCAATGATTAACTAGAATGTAGACAGCAAATGAGCAAATAAAAGTCAGTGGCAACTGAAAGCTCATATTGAATAGTTTACTTCCACAGGGTCGTTAAGAGTCAGTACTGACTCTACGGCACTTAACAACAACAACAATTCAAATCTTGCTCTATACCTGAAACAGTAAGGAGCTCTGGTAGCGTAGTGGTTACGAATCAGGCTGTGAACCGCAAGGTCAGCAGTTCGAAACTACCAGCGGTTCCAGGGGAGAAAGATGAGGCGTTCTGCTCCCATAAAGATTTACAGCCTCGGAAACCCTGTGCAGGGTCGCTATGAGTCAGAACCGACTCCACGGCACTTAACAACAACAACAACAACCTGAAACAGTAAGACTGTGGCACACAAATCAGCTCAAAGAATCATCTCCAAAATCTTCTCTGGAGCAAGGGGATCCCTGCACCCCACCCTCTAGTATGGGCAGCATTCTCAAACACTTACCAATCCAGAGACATGACCGCAACAATGGGCCTGAATCAGAACTGACCAGAGGTCTAGGTCTCTTGGACAATGACAGAACTGGGATAATACCAAAAATAAATTATTAGACAAATACCAGAGGGGAAGTTCATGGAAAAGTGGAACTGCAAGAGAATGGAATTTTCCCATGAACTTTCTGAAGCCCCCTTTGTATAACTTCTTTCTAATAGTGATACCTCATTTGTATTAGTCATATTAAAGCCTCCTAGTGACACTGTAGGGTAAGCACTGGACTGCAAACTGCAAGGTTGGCATTTCAAACTCACCAGCTGCTCCTTAGGAGAAAGATGAGGCTTTCTGCTCCCATAAATACATACAGCCTCAAAAACCCTAAACAGGGTGGCTCTGGTAGCGTGGTAGTTACGAATCGGGCTGCAAACCACAAGGTTGACAGTTCGAAACTACCAGCTGCTCCGTGGGAGAAAGATGAGGCTTTCTGCTTACGTAAAGATTTCCAGCCTCGGAAACCCTGTACAGGATCACCATGAGTCGGAACCGATTCTACGGCACATAGCAACCACCAGTCACAACGGACTCGATGCCAGTGGGTTTGGATTTTCGTTTATTGTCAGTTCTTCTAAATACATGCATCCAGCATATTTAAGTTGTTTTGCTTCATATAACGTGGCCTGTGACTTCCCTTGTCCAACCAGTGTGTGTGTGTTTGTGCACACATGTCCTAATTGGATTAATAAAATCAGGCTAATTTAATGTAAGCCGTGGCACATGTTTTTCAATACATTTCTGCTGACCTGCGAGGTAAACAATTGGCTCAAAAATGTTCAAAAAAATTTTTGAGTAGCACTGTTTCTCAGTACTTCTGTACTACCTCCCAAATCCTTGAGTAAGTAGTGACTTGGATCTTAAAAGCTAGCTAGCAGTCCTCCAAAGAATAACAGGACTCTAGTCATCTGAAGCAATAAAAGAAGGAGAATCAAGAATCAGAAGAGGAACTCAAAGTATATCTGTAGCTTCCATAAGCAGCTGTCTTCTCTGCCATGAGGCCAAAAGAACCGGATGTGTCCGCCTACCATGCCCGAACATTTTGATCAAAAATTCTACAGAAAAATCCTGGTGAATCTGGGGAAGAATGTGAAACAGAATTTCAAATTCACAATGGAATCCAGACTTTCTGGAGCCACTGAGGCTGGATAAACCCCTGAAAATATATAGCCCAGAGATGATCTTTCAACTTTAAGCCTTAGACCAAAACTACAACATCAAGTCTTGTTAGAACCCAAAATTAGTTTAGCTTCAAAGTAAAGCACATCTGCTTTGGGCACAGTGCTCTTTGAAAGAATGATCGCCATTGAGATGAAATGGACAAAAGCTACTCAGGAAGGTTGGACGGGAAGCTTAGGGTCTCGTGAGTTGAAGATCGTGGTTGTGGACTAATTTGGAAAAGGAGAGAGTAATCACATGAAACATCACATGAGAAATGTGACCAACACCACTGAATTGTAGGTGTAGAAATTATTGAAATGGCGTATCTCTGACTGTGTATACCTTCAGTTAAATTAAAAACAAAATTTAAATAAAATAAAGATAAATTTTTAATAAATATCTGCGGTAGCATTTCCCCAGCACCACAACTTCTAAAGGGTCCTTAAAATACCACGTGGCCATGTACCAGGAATTTCCTGCTATTAGCGAAGTGAAATGATTTGTAAAACAAGGATCCCATCTTAATACAAACTGGGTCTAAACTTTTAGGGGTACCAAAGGAATAACAAAAAATGTTAGTTCTCATACTATTTGAATGACTTCTAGGAAAAAGCAGTGTGATCGAATAGCAGGGAAATGATGTATAAGCAGAGGGTGTCAATGCCGTCGCTGCAGAGACCAAACTGAAAATGTTGTGTCGAAGTGTTACTCGCTCTACAATAAGGCAGGTTGTTTTTAGAAATCCATTCTGCTTCTTTCATCCGTGGGCCACTTGTCTAAACACAGTTGGTATTTACTGAGTCCCTTCGGAGACCTTCTAACCCAGCATTTGGTAAATGCCCAACAAAACCTCACTGCCTTCGAGTCAGTTCGGACTCACAGAGACCCATTAGAAGGTTTCTGAGGCTGTACAACTTTTGGGAAGCAGAAAGCCTCACCTCTTCCAAGGAGCGGCTGGTGAGTTTGAACTTCCAACCTTTCAGCAATGAGTCCAGAGCTTATCCCACAGTGCCACCAGTGCTCCTTTGATATATACCAGATGATCGATAAAACTGGCAGTGAATTAAAATGAAGTTCATGGTCCCCACTCAGAAAAGAGACTCCTACCTTCCCTGGAACTGTAGTAACTTCACTTTCTTGTTAATGGAAATCCCTGGGTGTGTTGTTAGGTGTCATCCAGTGGGTACCGACTCATAGCGATCCTATGCACAACAGAATGAAACACTGCCGGTCCTGGGCCTGTGTATTTGGTTGCTAACTGAAAGGTGGGAGGTTCAAGTCCACCCCAAAGTGCCTCTGAATAAAGGCCTGGTGACCTACTTCTGAAAAATCATCCACTGAAAACCCTGTGAAGTACAGATGTCTTCTCTGACACGAGCAGAACAGACTTCATGGTAACATAGAATTGTTGTTGTTAAGTGCCGTCAAGTCAATTTCGACTCATTAGCACCCCTGTACAGGGTTTCCAAGAGGCAGCTGGTGGGTTTGAACCACTGACCTTGCAGGTGAAACTGACTTTGCCATTCAGTACATTATCGTGCAGCGCCACACCAGGATTCTGTTAGAATTGGTATCCTATTAAATTTCTTCCTAACAATCTAAGGTGTTCCAGCACCTTCACCTTACATACTTAAGACAGCAAAGACGCATTCTGGCAATTCACAATCTACAACTGGAACACTCTAGGAGAATCAGCAGTGAAACTCTCCTTCACTGAAAATGTTACAGATGGTGCCTGCTGCCTCTACCGACCATTCGGATCGGGGCCGCGATACATGGACTTGGTTGTTGTTGTTGTTATGTGCCGTGGAGTCAGTTCTGACTCACAGCAACCCTGCATAGGGTTTCCAAGGCTGTAAATCCATACGGGAATAGAAAACCTCATCTTTCTCCCGCAGAGCAGCTGGGAGTTTCAAACTGCTGACCTTGAGCTTAGCAGCCCGATTCGTAACCACTACGCTACCAGAGCTCCTTAGTAGAATGGGAGAAAAATGTGGAACAGAACTCACATTCTTCAAAGGCCCAGATTGACTGGACTCCCTGAGTCCTGAAATACTCTTCACTCCTAAACCAAAACTATGCCCCGAGGTCACCTTTTAGCAAAATTAACAGATTATAAAATACAGAAAATTATGAAATATTGCCCATGAGTATATGCATCATTAAAAAGCATCTCTGAGTCCTGTGAGGCTGTGCACTGGGTCATTTTGAATCGGAACTGACTCGACGGCACTGACCAACAACAGCAGCATGAGTTCTGGTGTAGCACTGTAGGATAAGCACCAGACTTCTAACCGCAAGACCAGTGGTTCAAACCCACCAGCCAGTCTTCAGAAACCCTATACAGGGTTGCTATGAGTCAAAACCAACTCGACGGCACGTAACAAGAGCAATAACAATAACAACATCCTGAGTACAAACGCTGTTTAAAACAACAAACCATCTCTATGAGACCAAAAGGTCAACCATGACTCTAAAGCAAAGATCAGAAGGTAAGGTAGGGAAACTAGAACCCTGGAAACAGAACAACCAGAATGCAATAAAAGAGAATGCTGATACCTCGTGGAACGTATAACTAACATCCCTAAACAATTGGTATAGATAGAAATTGTCAAGTGGAAAGATGGGAATTTAGTTTACTATGTACACTTTCACTGAAAACTCAATAAAATAGCACCGATGGAAGAGATAATGATGTAGAGTTCGGAAATGGGAGTTTTGAGGTTTCCAGTTCTGAGTATTACGGCTGTGACACATGCATCCTCTCTAACAAGCGTCTGTCACCCCTGAGTTTGACAATCCTTTTCACCAGTGAGAACCCCAGTGACTCAGTTATTCTGACGCTTTATTCAGGACACAATGGCTTTGGTACCTCTGAAGGGCTTGAACTTGTTCTCCAGGTCGAACTCCTGACGTCCTAGCCGGGAAAGGTCGAGGCGAAGGTCAGGACATATAGCATACTCCTCAATGGTTTTGCTGATCTGATAGATTTTGTCTGAAACCACGTCTGGCGCAGGACCTAAAATTCAAAAATAATGCACCATAATTTTTTTTTAAGTCTCAAGCAGGAGAAGGATGTATTTGGTCTTAAAACAATGGACAGCAATCACCGTTCCATCAGCCTGTTGATTTCCTATGCTGCCTGAATCCATGAAGGAGGAAACAGGTCAGCAAACCTGTTGCATGTACACTAATAACCCACATGTTTGGTAGGTTTGTTTCTGTTTTATTATTTTTTTTAATCTACGTTTAAGCAATGTTGTCTCTTCCCTAAAAATAACTTCCCACCTGCCTGGGAGACCTGCTTACGCAATCAACTTTATTCAGGATCTGAAACAAACAGGATGTGCATTGGACAGAATGGAGGGATGCCAAATATAGATTGAAGCTTTCCAAATGCACTTGTTGTTGTTGTTGTTAAGTGCCTTCGAGTCGGAGCCGACCCATAGCGACCCTGTACAGGGTTTCCGAGGGTGTAAATCCTTAGAAGGGGAAATAACTGAGATCTTCTCCCTGTTCTCTTGTCTATTTGCTGTGAGAGTTTTAACAGGTCAATTCATTCTTTCCCCCAACTCAAATGTACTCTTCTTGTTGCTGTGAAGTGCCATTGAGTTGGTTCCAACCTATAGCGACCCTGTATACGGCTGGTGAGCTTGAACCGCCAACCTTGCAGTTCAAACGGCTTTGTAGTCTGACGCATGAACTCACAGCGCCACACCAGGACTTCCAAACGTAACCTAGTCATTCCCCAAACAGTCAGCCCAGACGCCCAATCAGGAGTCCTGGTGATAAGGTGACCGAGCTGTTAACCAGAAATATGGCTGTTCCACCCCTCCACCGGTTCCACAGAAGCAATGTCTGGCAATCTGCTGCCATTGAGATCATAGCCAAGAAAACCCCATGGAGCAGTTCCAGTCTGTAACACGTGGGGTCACTATATACCAGAATCCACTTACAGCACCCAATACCAAGACTGAATGAATGGAACATGAACCTAGTAGATGTCCTCCTTTTAATTTCGGGATTTTTTTTTTTAATGTGTAGGATTGCAATAAAATAAAATGGCAGATAGATAAAGCTTTGTGTTCAGATCTGGTGGCACAACGGTTAAAGCACTTCGCTGCTCACGGAAAGATTGGTGGTTGGAACTCACTCAGCGGCTCTGCAGTAGAAAGACCTCGCGATCCACTCCTATAAAGATGACAGCCTAGGAAACCCTACAGGGCAATCTCACTCTGTCCTACGGTGTTGTTATGAGTTCAAATCTACTCCACAGCACACAACTCACTTTCCAGATGTCATAACTTTCAACGGGACAGAAAACATTTCCTGATTCCTTTTCTATCCCCTCCACTGGGCAGAGCTGTACTGTCCAATACTTAGCTGCATGTGGCCGCTGAGCACTTGAAATGTTGTCAGGGCATGCCAAATTCTGAAGACTCGCTGCCAAAAAAGGCCAGCCACCACGGGAATCTTGTTTCTACTGATAACATACCAAAATGACAACGCTGTGGACAGATTCGGTTAAATAAAATATAGTATTCCTTGTACCTGTTTCTGTGGACCTTTTTTTTTTTTTTTTAAATGTGGCTACTGGAAAATTTTAAATTAGATCTGTGACTCACACTATATGTTCTACTGAATGGAGCTTTCTTAGAACACAGCACCATTGTAGGTTCCCAGTATAGAAAACGGAACAATAGCCCTGTTCCAGCAGGTGGGAGAGAAGAAGGCCAAGTAGGTACTGCTCAGAATTGTCTTGCCTTACAGGAAAACCTGTACAGGGTCGCTATGGGTCGGAACCGACTCGACGGCACTTAACAACAACAACAACAACAGGAAAAGTGGAAGACCCTAAAGAGATAAAGGGACCTTTTTTTTTTTTTTTTTTTCTTAAATCCCTTTGCAACACTTAGAAAGTAAGAAGACAGAAATAACCAATTGTTGTTGTTGTTGTTAAGTGCCGTCGAGTTGGTTCCGACCCATAGCGACCCTGTACAGGGTTTCCGAGGGTGTAAATCCTTACGGGAGTAGAAAGCCTCATCTTTCTCCCGCGGAGCGGCTGGTAGTTTTGAACCACTGACCTTAAGGTTTGCAGCCCGATTCGTAACCACTACGCTACCACAGCTCCTTACCAATAGGAACCAGAAAAGATGCTCACCATTGTCAGACATCAGGGAAGAGCAAATCAAAACCAACATAAGATACCATATCATACCCACTAGGATAGCTATGATATAACAAAAAAGGGAGTGTTGGCAAGGGTGTGGAGACACTGGAATCTTTATACACTGCTGTTGGAAACATAAAGTGGTACAGTTGGTCACTCTAACATAAGAGTGACCAGCCAGTGTCCTCCTAAGTGCATATCCCAAAGAAGTAAAAATGGATGTCCACTTACAAAAATTTGTACACAAACTTTCATCGATGGCCCCAAAGTGGGAACAAACGAAATGCCCATTGTATGATGAATGGGTAAGCAAAATGTTGTCGTGGGATATTATTCAGCAGAGAAAAATGAACCGCTGGTTTATGCTTCCAGTGGATGAACTAAGAGAAAGGAGTCAGTCACAAAGGACGACACGTCATATAATCTATTTAGAAGGAATCTTTGTTGTCAAGTGCTGCTAAGTTGGTTCCCACTGATAGCAACTCTGTCTAGGGTTTCTGAGGAGCGGCTGGTGACTTTTGAACTGCCGATGTTATGGTGCAAACCAACCTTGAGGTCCAGTGTTTATCCTACAGCACCGCCCCAGGACTCCATGAGGAACCTAGAGAGGCAAAAAGGAGACATCTGATTGCCTAAGGGTGGGGGCCGTGGGAGGTTGGGCAAGAGCTAAGTGGTGTAAGACTTGTTCTGGAGTGACGAAAACACCCTACTAATGTGGACCAGGCTTCTTTGGGGGACAATAAACATGTTCTGAAATTAGACAGCGATGACAGTATCATAGGTACTACTCTGTAATATGCTGAAAACCCATTGAGTTGTGTACTTTCTAGGAGGTGAACTTCTTGGTATGTATATTGTATCTTAATAAAACAGTTTAAATAAAGACAAAATAGCAAGTAAGTAGTATCTTATAATGTTTTTAGATTAGAGAATGCCTGCGTATATCCCCAGCCCCCATCAACCAAAGGAAGCTTCACCTGCGCCCACCTCTTGCAAATAGGAATTCTAGTTGAGTTTTTGGAGTCCTGGTGTGGTGCTGTGGGTTAAGGCGCTGGACTGCAAAGTCAGTTCGAACCACAAAGTCGGCAGTTCAAGCTCACCAGCCACGCCTCAGAAACCCTGCGCATGGTCACTATGGGTTGGAAACGACTTAGTGGCAGTTAACAACAATAGTTAAGTTGTAATACCAAAGCACAATATTTTCCAAAAATAAAACAGTTACCGGGAGCCCAGATCCCTTTCTCACATGGTTAACTGCTGGCTGTTAAGATTCAGCAGTAAGTGCCCATCCCCTCCTACACACAGACTTGGGGTCTTACATGAAAACCTTTCGCCAAACGCACTACTCCACTCCATGGTGGAACCTGGTTGCAAGTAAACAGCAGTAGATAACACGCTGGGGATAACTGGGGAGATTTAGCTTTAGGTGATGTTTCACCTGATGTTGGTGAATGAGTGGGATAATGCAGTTAAGTCGAAAGAATCATCTTTCTTAGAGATGGGTTCAGGAATATTTAGGTGTGAATCTGTATCTGTGTTGTAATGAACTTTAAGATTCTTCGGCACAATGGCAAAACGAGGCAAAGGATACGGGGATTTCCCCACTTCTTAGACTTTCTACTTTTACATCTGGTGAAGAATATTAAATATACCCAAGACTGCCAGAAGAAAGAGCAAATGTGTCTTGCAAGAAGTACAGTCGGAATGCTTATTTCACCTTGAGAGCAAGGATGGGAGACTTGGTCTCCTGTACTTCAGATGGGGGTCTCAGGAGGGACCAGTCCCTGGAGAGGGACAACATGCTTGGTAAAGTAGAGGGTCAGCGAAAAAGAAGAGCCCCAACGAGATGGGTTGGCACAGTGACCCTAGGACCATCAAAGTTTAAGAGCACAAGCAGAATGCAGGACCCTATTCAAAGAAGCAGCGACACCAGAGATGGAGGCAGAGATGAGGACATGGAGAGAGGGAGCAGCTGAGGACTCTAGACTCATGGAAAGAGAGGGACTGAGTGCAGGCGGCCAGGAGGCAGGCTTGCAGAATGTGCCCTTTCATTGTTTAAAAGATCATACATTCCGGTTTTTGTATACATAAAAACAAAACAAAACAGAGGGAATGGAAGCAAATACTGTTGAATGATGATGCACGGAGGAGATTGTAATCATTGCAATGAAACTATGAGTGTAAAACTGATATTCTTTCATGTAAACTATCACTCAATTCACAATAAAAACTTAAAAGAAAAAATTTTAAAAGTGTCTAAAGGTGTTCAAGATCCCACTACACTACTTCCTCATCCTATCACCTTGGTCAGCGCCCTGAACTTTTCTAGGCTACCAGCCCTTCTTCACCTCTTTTGTCTTGCAACCAAGTGTTGTTGAGTCGATTCCTAGTCACGGCGACCCCGTGTGTGATCGAGCAGAACACACTAGAGCTGCTTCATGGGAATTTCTTGGCTATCATCTTTACGGAGGCAGATCACCAGGTTTTTCTTCTGTGGTGCCCTGGATGGGTTCCAACCACCAAGCTTTAGGTCAGTTGACAAGCACCGAGCATGTGTGCCACCCAAGGACCCCAAGGATTATTCTGTAGCATAGTAGAAAAGAAATCTTGATGCTCGACACATATTCGGAACCACATACCTCCATTGGCAACATTAAACTTGACCCCGAACTCTCCTCCCGGCCCTCCAGGGAAGTGACTGGCTGTTAGGATGATTCCTCCAGCTGCTTTGATCTTTCTGATAATGCAGGAGACAGCAGGGGTCGACAAGATGCCATTTTGTCCAATAATTAGGCGCCCAATCTAGACAATTGGGGAAAAAAAAAACAACAGAACAAAACAAAAGAAAATCAATCCAGGTACACACCAGGGCTTGGAAGTACATCAATGATGGAGTACCTCAGGCTCTGTAAAAGCTGTGAATCACCTGGCAAAGGAATTGGGTAGGTGGGATGGTGGGGTGTGTGATCAGCTGCTAACCTTACAGTTGGTGGTTCGAATTCATCCAATGGCTTCCCCCCAAAAAAAGGCCTGACCATCTGTTTCTGTCAAAATTACTGCCACATGGAGCACAGGGCAGGGATTAGACACAGGAAAGTTTGGGTGCTGGGGAGGGGGCCAATATACAAGAAGGGAGAAGGGAATGGAAGAACAAAGCAGATGGGAGAAAAATTAGGCAGGTTTGAATGGGCTAAGTGGGACAGAGGTAAAGAATGATGTACGTACAATCTTGGAACTACAGGGCTCTGGGATACAGAGATTGAGACATGGTTGGAATGGGGAAAAGAGGGGAATAATGTTAAGATGCTTGGCTGTCTTTTGAATCTTGGTTTTCCTTG